ATTACCATTGGTTCTAGATCATATGCCACTTCTTGAAATGGATGAAGATCGATCAGTTCTTTTTGGTACAGTGACTCTGTGTATTCCTGCCAATTCTCTTGATGTTTCCTGCATCATACATGACCAGTGTAATACATCATTTTATCTGCTGACAGCTGCTTCCATGAATGTTGATTGTGGATCCAAGTAAAATGAAATCCTTGAAAATTTCAACCTTTTCTTATCATGATGTTGCTTATTGGTCCAGTGGTGAGGATATTTGTTTTCTTTACCTTGAAGTGTAATCTATACTAAAGGCTAGAGTCTTTCATCTTCATCAGTAAATGCTTCAAGTCATCTTCACTTTCAGCAAGGTTGGTTGTGTCACTTGCATATCACATGTTGTTAATGAGTCTTCCTCCAATCCTGACACTGTGCTCTTCATCATATAGTCCAGCTTCTGGAATTATTTGCTCAGTATACAGATTGAGTAAGTATGGTGAAAGGATACTGTTTTAGTTACCTAGTGCCACTCTGACAGGAATATACCACAGATGGGATGGCTTGAACAAACAAGAGTTTATTCTTACCATTTGGAGGCTTTAAGCCCAAGTTCAAAGTGCCAGGCTTTAGGGGCTGGGTGAAAGCCCCTCAACCTTGGCTTCAGCTCTGCCTCCTGCTCCTGGTCCACTGAAACTACAGGCTTTTCCTCACTCAGCTTCTGGCTGCTGAGACTGACAAACCCAAGGTTGACAAGTGAAAAGGCACAGTCCTGATGTTACCAAACCACACAGCAGACCATTAATTCAAGTCCATTAAAAGTCCCAAGATCTACAGAGTATGACAGGCTGCTGAACAATGACTTAGCTACATGCAGGATTCAAACGTGCTATAAGCTAGAGACCATTCTCAAAGCTGTTTCTTATACACAGGAAGCAGACCACATCCCTAAAGCAGCTACTCACCTGCTTGTGGTAGATTCCACCATGGAGTTGACTGCCAGTCTCATCATGGGGAATAACTACCACCAGCTGCCCAGCCACTCAACCAGGCCCAACCAAGTTGACACACAAACTTAACCACCACAGATACCCTGACACATACCTTTCCTAATTTTTAACCACATGGTATCCCCTTGATCTGTTTAAACAACTTCTTCTTGGTCTATGTACAGGTTCCTCATAAGCACAATGAAGTGTTTGGGAATTCCCATTCTTCCCAATGTTATCTATAATTAGTTATGATCCAGTCAAATGCCTTTGTATAGTCATAAAACACAGGTAAACATCTTTCTGGCATTCTTTGCTTTTAGCCAGCATCCACCTGACATCAGCATGAAACAACTATCCCAAAATCAAGGATTAACTTATAGGGGCTGTGGTAGTTAAGATTGTTGTCAATTTGGCTGGGCCTGCTTCAGTGGCTGGGCAGCTGGAGGTATAGTTATTCCCCATGATGAGACTGGCAATGAACTCCATGGTAGAATCTGCCTCCAGGAGCTGAGTAGCTGCTTTAGGAATATGGTCTGCTTCCTGTATATAAGAAGCAGTTTGGGGGATGGTCTCTAGATTATGGCACACTTGAATTCTACATGTAGACAAGTTGTTGTTCAGCAGCCTGCCATGCTCTGCCCACTTTGGGACTTTCAATGGACTTGAATTAATGGCCTGCCATGTGGTTTGGCAACATTGGGACTGTGCCTTTTTACTTGTCAACCTTGGGCTTATCAGCCTTAAAACCCAGCAGCTGAGTGAAGAAAAGCCTCCAGCTTCAATGGGCCAGGAGCAGGAGGCAGAGCTGAAGCCCAAGGTTAAGGGGCTTTTACCCGGCTCTTGTTGTTGTTGTTATTTGCCATCGAGTCAGCCCTGACTCATAGCAACCCCTCCTTGGGTTTCCGAGGCAGTATCACTACGGAAGTAGGATTGCCCAACCTTCCTTCCGAGAAGTGGCTGGTGGGTTTGAACCGCCAGCCTTCTGGTTAGCAGTCAAGTGCCTTAGGCACTATGCTACCAGAGCTCCCTACCCGGCTCTAGAGCCTGGCATTTTGAAGTCAGACTTAAAGCCTCCAAACTGTAAGAGAATAAATAAACTCCTGTTTGTTCAAGCCATCCACACTTGTGGTATATTTTCTGTTAGAGTGGCACAGAAGTAACCAAAACAGGGGTAGTTTGGAAATAAACTCCTAACATTCATCTTTATCTACTACCATTATCTGGTCTTCATTCCTATTTTTGTTCTGCCTATAGCTATGCCATATGAATATTACTAATTTGGGTAGGACCAGTGATTAAAGAGCTATATCTGAATATAAGAAGCTCTAGTGGCACAGTGGTTAATGCATTCGATAGCTAATCAAAAGTTTGGTGGTTCCAACCAATCAGCCACTCTGTGGGAGAAAGATTAGGCAGTCTGTTTCTAGAAAGATTTATAGCCTTGGAAACCCGATGGAGCAGTTCTACTGTGTAACATATGGGGTTGCTAGGAGTCAAAATTGACTTGATGGCAATGTGGTTGATTTTGGTTTCACAGTAAGGATTGCTTAGTCTATCAACTGATACTAACAGAAATATACTGCATAAAAATGTAGCAATTTTTTGTGTAACAAACACAAAAAAACCATACATTTGACTTAAGTTTATGGCTATACAAGTAGAAAGCCTAGATGAGAGAACATAACATTAAGGATATTATTTTAGGCAATGAAAGATGGGACTGGTCAAAAGCCACATGGATATATAATATCATAAGTTCACTAAATCTCATCAGGTTTGACATTTACATTTTGTTCCTATAATTAAAACTTTAAAGCTCTTGTACACAGAAAGAAACTCAAGGTACTGCATGTCAGTTAATTCTATAAACACTAATTTACTGTAAAAAAAGATGGAGCCTACATTTTGAACATATTGAATCATTTATTTACAATCTGTTTTTTAATGCATCTGGCTTGAATTATTTTCCTATCTCGTATCTGAAATCAATATACTGTATAACTAACAAACAAACAAACTTCAAAACAACCAAACCTGTTACTGGCAAGCTGATTCTGACTCATAGTGACTGTATAGGATAGAATGGAACTGCCCCAAAGGGTTTCTAAGGCTGTAATATTTATGCAAGCAGATTGTCTCATCTTTCTCCCACAGAGCAGCTGGTGGGTTCAAACCACCAACCTTCTGGTTAGCTTAGTGCTTTAACTACTGTGTCACCAGGGCTCCTATGTAAGTACACATAATAGGAAAAAGTCAGTTGCCTTTAGAACACTAGTGTCAATAGTTTCTGCTTATATTTTCTGTTACTTCAGTTTTGTGTATATGTTTTGACTGCTACAAATTTGAATTTAACCATTCATGTAGGCTCCATGAAGGAACGAACCATTCTACCTGGATCGTCACTAAATCTCTGGCATAATGCTGGTATACTCCAGATGTCCCCCCCCCCCCAAAAAACAATAGTTTTTATTATACGTGTATACTTTTTGGATGTTTAACATTACCTTTTTACTTTTGAATCATGGATGAATCCACCACAGAGCTAAAACATTTCTTATAATAGAATGAACAATATTTACTTAAAAATGTTCGCAAGATTGTTAAAGCATCTATGATACTGTAACAATAGCTCTCTACATTTCCCAACTAAAGAATTCAACTTCAATTTTCTACCCTTATTATATCTGTAACCGTTGTGAGTTTGAAAAGATTCTGACTTCTTTTATTATGTAAGCTTAGTGATACCAACCTGATTTGTCTTGTAGTATAACTACTCCATGTTTACTTGTATTGGTCATGTTGTACTTTATATACTGAGGAATTACTTGTCTTGGGTTTATGACTTCTTCTAGAGATGGCACACCTAAAATGGTTTGTAGGCTAAATAAAAGAAGAAACAGAAAAAATGTTTCCCCCCAAAAATAAATGGAATAGAGCACAAATGTGAAAATGTATGACTTGGAAACAACCAAATAAAGACATCAGAATGTTTTGTTTTTCTTTTATCAAAAAATTCTAAGGCTTAGATTTAGTATTCATTTTCAAATATACCTCAATAATCTTCTAAGGAGTCCAAGATGTATCTCAATGTATAGCTACAATTTTGAAACAAATTAAAGGCAAATCATATGGAAGACATTCTATTTCTACTAAACTAGAGCTATAGCAAGAACATTAAGAAACATAAGCAGATTAAATTGTAAGTTTTAAGGACTAAAATGTTTTTATTTGCCTATTTATTTAGATGAAAATGACAAATAAATAATACAAACACCTCAGGAACTTGCTTACACCTTAGTTTTTAGCTTACTAGATTAGAATGACATATCTCCAAACTTCTTCAACATCTTCCTGTTTTATTTCTCGGTTATCAGCCAAGTTCATTTGATCATCAATCATGTCACCCTTTATGTCCTCTATATTTCCCTAAAAGAAAGAATTAACTTGGTTTAATACATTACATAAAAATTATGGAACTATTGAACATATACCATCCCCAATATTTAGTAATACTATTACTATTACTCCATTGTGGAGTTACAAGATGTCATCTGAAGAAATGTTAGACAAGATGATAGAGTTATTGGTATTATAGCTGTCCCTATACCCCTCAAGTCAATTTGAAAGAAAACATGCTTACATTACATAAATAATATTTCAAGTATGCCTCACTACGATTTTTATCATTGATTTTTTGGGTTCCAAACAAATTTACACAAAAGTTTTAAAATACAATGTAGGTTGGAAGAACTCAGTATTAATATTAAAGATCGTTTACTTTTAATGATTCTATTATTGGCCACATGGTAATTATACTTAAACTAGTGACTAGTAAAAGAATGTTTTACCTGAGAGGAGTGTAATCCATGGTTTTTAGGAGTTCTACGAGATAAGTTTCGTAATTTAAAAATATTATCTTTATCTTTGGAAAAGTTCTCTACGCTGTTTTTTCTCAATTCAGGATGCCTTGGTGGAAGAGATTTAAGTGGAGAAGTGGCAGGAAATCTAGTTTAGAAATAATACAAAATTAAATAATGTGAGATCAGAAACAAAATTTTAGTGCTAATTTATTAAAAATTACAGAAAGAACCTGGTTTATTTTACCAAGGAATGGCAATACGACATAAATAAATTTTCTCATTAAATCTTTCTAAACTATTTTAATAGTTTTCTGCTTTCTGTAAATAGTACATATTTTAACTTTATTTCTGGATTGTTGTTAGGTGTCTCTGATTCTTTTTTGACTCAAAGTGACCGCTATGACAGAGAAGAACTGTCTTGTAAGGTTTTCTAGGCTGTAATCTTTACAGGAATAGATCGCCAGGTCTTTCTTCCATGGAGTCTCTGAGTAGGTTTGAACTGCCCACCTTTTGAATAGCAGTCGAGTGCTTAACCATCAGGGCTTTGTTATTGCTGGATAACTCAGGATTATTATTAGGGCTAGTTCTGCTGGAGAGCTATTGCTTAATTACAACATGTCTCTAGAATGCTACATTTTCTGAATTCCTTTGATGAGCTATTTAATTTGTACATATTTTCTGCCCTTTGTTTGAATGTGATTGCTCTCATTTCCAGGCCTTGGTCTATATTGCTTTTGTTGACTAATATTTCTTTCCTCCCTTCATTTTATTATAAAACATTTCAAAGACACATAAAAGCATGCAGAATACAAATCAACATCCACATATGTAACCATAAATCAGTGTAATTAACATTTTGTCAGACTTTCTTTTTAAATGAAAGAAAATATTACAGATTGAAGTCCCTATATATTCTTTGCTTATTCCATTTCATTCCCTCCCTTCCTAATGGAAATCAGTAACCCATAGTTAATGTATTTTCTTCTTGCCTATGTTTTTATACTTTTAATACACATAAGCAAGATATGGCTTGGTGAGTTTTCACTTTATAGTATCATTAAATTTATACATATGCTTTTAGTGTCCTTAAGTTATTTTTTTATACCAGTATCATAAATTATTTTCATATATTTTCTCTTAAGATTTTTTTATTTCATATTTAGGTATTTAATCCACGTATAACTTTTTTTATGTGGCATAGATCTAGATCTAATTTTATTCTTTTGCTCGGATACCTTATTGTCTCAACACATCTGTTGAATAAGATTTCTTTTACCTGTTGATTTCTGAAGGTATTATTGGTCTTATAGTAACTTCCCACATATGTGTGCATTTATTTTTTCATAATATTTAGTTGTTTTAATTTAATTTACGAGAATATCAGGTGAGGCAATTCTTCCCCTTCCTTGTTCTTTAAAGTTGCCTTGGGCCTTCACAAGGCATTGACGGCTAACCAGAAGGTTGATGGTTCAAACCCACCAACCACTCCATGGAAGGAAGATTTACTGCCTCTGAAACCCAATGGGGGTGGCTATGAGTAGGAATCAACTCAATGGCAGTGAGTTTGGTTTGGTTTTGGTTACATCTCCAAATGAATTTTAGAATCTGCTAGTCAAAATCTATAAGAAATTACATTGGGGATTTGAATGAGAATGCACTTAATTTATATATTAATTTGGGAAGAATTGACTTACTTATGATACTAAGTCATCTCATTCATGAACAGGGAATCATTTTCATTTATTTCCTTCAATAAAATTTTATAATTTTCCCCAGCAAGAACTTGTACATTTGTGGTAAACTTTATTTCTAGATACTGTATAGCTTTATTACCACTGTAAAAGATGAGGGTCAGAAAGACTAGTTAAGGAATTATTGCAGAAATCCAGGTAAGAGAGAATAAAAAAGAGAAAGTTGGCCTAAAAAAGAGAAAATTCATAGTAGACGAAAGAATTGGGCAGAGAGAATTAACTAGTTAGTATAATTAACATAATTTGGTAATTATATTTATAACCAAACCAAACCCAACTTACTGCTGTTAAGTTGGGTCCGACTCACAGGGACCCCTCCTTGGGTTTCTGAGGCAGTATCACTACGGAAGTAGATTGTGCAACCTTTCTTCCAAGGAGTGGCTGGTGGGTTTGAATCACCAGCCTTCTGGTTAGCAGTCAAATGCCTTAGGCATAGAGGGGAGGAAAAAGAAAAAAAAAAATCAAAGCAACTACAGCAAAAACAGTATCCTTCACTCATATATGGAACATGAGAAGATATGATTTAGGTTAGAGGATGATAGAGTACATTTCCATGTGCTACATTTGAAGTACCTGTCTAGTACGCAGTTTAATAAATGGGTCAAAAGCTCAGAAGAGATTATTTGGATTAGAGATTTAGATAGGAAAAGTAGATAAAGAGATGACATGAGATTGCCCAGGGACAGAGGTGAAGGAGAACAAGTCCAAGAACTTGAAGACCAGTAATAAAGGGTGAGTAGTCAAGAAAGGGGCTCTGATGGCATAGTGCCTAAGGCATTTGACTATTAACCAGAAGGTTGGTGGTTCAAACCTGCCAGTCACTCTGCAGAAGGAAGACTAGGCAATCTACTTCTTAAAGATTTACTGCCTCAGAAACCCAAAGGGGGTCACTATGAGTAGGAATGGACTCAATGGCAGTGAGTTTGGTTTTTGTTTTTTTCAGTCAAGAAAGGAAAGCTTTGTAGAGTGTTATACAAAACAAACTATTCGTGTTTGTTACTGCAGTTTACTTATATAACATAAATCATTTTTGACATATAGGCAAGAATCAATTTCTAAGACACCTCAATTGAAAAGTACTAATGTTATATGTTATATATAAAGCATGGACATTAGAATCCAAAGACCTAGTTTAATGGATATATAACAAAAAAATAGTGGGTGCATGTGAGAGAAAAAACAATTACACTGGCCCAAGGGAGTCAGAAAAGCTGCAGAGGAGGTTATATTGGACCTGAGATTAGGAAAAAAAATGTATAAATTTGCCAGTCTGACAAATGTGTTCAGTATTTCAATGTGGAAGAACATTTCAGTCAGAGTGAACAAGATTTGTTGAAGCATGGCCTCCCTTTCCTGATCTGTAAGAAGGGTTAATACCTACTCTGCTTAGCTAGTCTAGGGCATAAATATGAAAATATCTAAATCATAAAGCAGGATTTCTAGTACATGTAAAAACTCTAGACCCTGTGGTACATTTCTTCTGTTGTTTGTTATAGAAAGTTTTCTAGTATTTATAACGTGCATTCTTAAATTATATGTTACTTAAGGGCAAGAACCTGTGAATTTGTCTTTGCAAATCTAGAGCCTATGACATTGAAAACCAAGATTCTAATGTTCATGCTTGAAATGTGATACCTAAAACCCAAACTCATTGTCAAGCTGACTCTAACTCATAGTGCTCCTACAGGAAAGACAGTAGGGTTTCCAAATCTGTAAATATTTACAGAAGCAGAACTGCCCCATCTTTCTCCCACGAAGCAGTTGGTGGGCCTGTACCATCAACATTTTAGTTAGCAGCTGAATGGTTTAACCACTGCACCACCTGGGCTCCTTGAAATGTGATAGGGCTTTCAAAATGTATACACAGAATGATAATTTCTCACTCTTTTTACCTAACTCTATATTTTACTATATATATTATTTCACATTTTAAAAATTTGAATTTTATAGCAATTCAATCTTACTATTTTTCTAAACGGTTTTAATGGGACTACAAACAGTAATACTTTTCTAAAGACTGAAGCTGCTGAAGCTTCTAAAGAGGCTGCTGTTTTAGTAAAAGTGTAATAGAAGTGGAGAGAAATAAAACTTTATTGTTAAGTAATTCAATTTTGCAGTTATATTCAGTACCTGAATAGCTGATTGTTGTCATCAAGATTTTCTGTTCCCCATCTGCCTTTGATATCTTCAATTACATGATTCTTAAGAAATTTTCTCAGCAGTTGGATAGTCTGTTGCCTTGTAACTTCAGGACCAAAATTGCTATTATTTCTTAATAGGTCATAAAGCCAGTCCACTGCTTCTGCAGCTGTGAAACAATTGCCATATTTTTTAAAGTGTTGCCTATGTTTTCTTAGAGGCATTCCTACCCGAAAAGATGTGGTAACTTCATTCCACTGCAAAAAAGAAGCGGGGGGGGGGGGGGGGAGTTTGATAATAAAAAATGAAATCTCTTGATGATTTGAAATAAATTAGACAAAAAAGCTTTCATTGTATCTGAGTATACTGTAAAAACTCATGAAGAAATTGTTCATCTTATTTGTACTACATAAAGTTTTATAACTCATTACTGACTTCATTTTATTAATTCCAGTGCTGTTATGGGGAGCTCTTGTGACATAGTGCCTAAGACACTTGACTGCTAACCAGAGGCTGGTGGTTCAAACCCACCAGCCACTCTTCGGAAGGAAGATGGGGCAATTTACTTCCGTAGTGGTATTGCCTCGGAAACCCAAGGAGGGGTTCCTATGAGTTGTATCCGACTCGATGAGAGTGAAAAAAAAAGTGTCGTTATAATATTTTTATGTAATAGTTTTTATTAAACACATTCCATTGTATGGTCAACTTATTTACGAAGCTCAGGAGTAAGGAAAGAGAACTGCAATGAACCTACTTCTTGGTCCTCAGCAGAGAAAGCATTTGTTTCTGTTTTTTACCTCAACTATTATTAAGAACTCATGGCAATCTCATGTGTCAGAGCAGAACTGTATGCCTGCATAGGGTTTACAATGCCTGATTTTTTGGAAGTAGGTTGCCAGTCCTTTCTTCTCAGAGCCTTTGGGTAAACTTGAACCTTCAACCTTCGGGTTAGAATCAATTGGTGGTGATGGCGGTGGAATATTAAGAACATGCTGGTAGTATTTGTGTCAGGCACTGTACTTTATATTCATAATTTCATGTAATTCTTACAACTCTATGAATAGGTGCTAACATTTCCCATTTTATAGATAAGGAACATGAAGCACAGATAAATTCAATAATTTGGCCAAGGTCATACAGATACATGTTGAATACAGGCATTCAAATTCAGGTTTGATTGACTCTAGAAGTTGTACTCTAAACAATCCCATCAGGTCAAGAATCTGATTTGTAACTCCAGCTATGCCATATCAGCTTTATTACCACTTATGTATCCTACATGGTCCCAACATCACAATGCAAAACTTAAGGGCCAAAAATACAATTGTTGTTAGTTGCTGTTGAGTCATTTCCAACTCATGGCAATGCCATATGTGCACAGTAGAACTGCTTCATAGGGTTTTTCAAGCTTGTAACCTTATAGAAGCAGATTGCCAGGTGTCTTCTGAGGCACCTCTGGGTGGTTCAAACTGCCAAATTTTGGCTAATAGTCAAGTAATTAACTGTTTGTGACACTCCAAAAATACATTAACTGTATTCTTTTCTTCTCATTTATTTATTTAAGAAACATATAGTGAGCTGCCTACTATGTATGTCCTGGGGACACAGTAGTGAAAATGACAGGAGGGGTCCCTGATCTTAATTAAATACACTTATAGAATAGCTTTCCTGAGATGAGATATATATAGTTTTAATAGTGGGCTCTGGAATCAAATTGCTAGCTTTTTTTCCTGGCTCTAGCTCTATCACTTATTGCTTAATATGACCTGTTAAGCAAGTTACTTTAATTCTCTGTGCCTCAGTCTCATTATCCATAAAATGGTGATAACGGTATTTACTTAATAAGCTTGATAAGGAGTTCTGCCAGTGCAGTGCCTAAAGTATTTGACTGTTAACCAGAAGGTTGGCAGTTCAAACCCAACAGCCACTCTGGGGAAGGAAGGCAGGGCAAGCTATTCTGTAAAGATTTACCACTTTGGAAACCTAATGGGGGTCACTGAGTTGGAATCCACTTGATGGCAGTGGGTTTGGTTTTGTTATTTCAATAGGCTTAATAGGAGCTCCGGTGGCGCTCGGGTGCAGGTGGTCAGTTGGAACCCACCAGCAGCCACTGGTGGGAGAACGATGAAGCTGTCTGCAAAGATTTACAGCCTTGGAAATCCTTTGGGGCAGTTCTGCTCTGTCCTATAGGGTAGACTGGATGACAGTAGGTTTGGTTTGGTTTGTAACAGGCTTGTTGTAAGGATAAAACGATTTAATATATTTAAATATATTAAATTTAATATATTTACTAGTTAAAAAAACAAAATACAAAAAACAAACTCGAGTAGATTGCCATCGAGTAGATTACAACTCATAGTGACCCAGGTAATAAATCTTCACGGAAATAGATTGTTTCATCTTCCTTGCGTGGAGTGGCTGGTGGGTTTGAACTACCAACCTTCCGGTTACCAGTCAAATGCCTTAGGCACTGTGCAACCAGCACTCTTTTTTATTAGTAAGCAAGCACTCAGTAATTTTTCAATGTACTTGTTCTACTTTCATCTAATTTAATGAATTTTTAAAATAATGTGACCTGATTAAGGTTCCTTCCAGTCCTAAATTCTATCCTTTATAAGGATAAATACCATTAAGAACCTACTGAGCAGCAGCATCCATCACACAGGATGATCTGAACTCTGAGCCACTTATCCTTCATGTGGCTTCAGTAGAGTTAATTTTTGTTAGCTGCAGTTTCCACACAGGTAAAGTAGAACTAATACCTTCAGGAGATTCCTGAGAGGATACTGTACTGAAAGTATGTTGTGACCTATAGAATTTCAGTGAAATGAAAACTACAATGCTATTGATAACCTAAATGCACCAAATCCACTGCTATCCAGTCAAAAATAATGACCCTAAAGGATAGAGTGAAATTGCCCAGGTGGGTTAGAACTGCTGACCTTTCCATTAGCATAGCAGCAGAGTGCTTTAATCACTGTACCACCAGCATTCCTTCTAAATGCAGAAGACACTGTATAACAGTACCCATCCAGTGACCATCAAATTTTGTACAAACCATTGTTACAACAGTTACTGATGGGTACTTCCAAATACTTCTGTGTTTTGAAACAAGCAGTTGTTACCAAATTTAGAGTAGAGTACTACTCTGCTCTAAATTTGACAGGGCCAGCAAAATGAAGATGTCAATTAAGGCTTGCCTCCAGTTTGACTTTACAAAGCAAAGGAACTCATTCAGAATTGTTCTCTGATCCCGACGAGGGTAGACAGACGCGGGGAGCGGCTAAAATCTTCGTGTTCTATGGGTGTTCCTGGGATCTCCTAACAAAGTAGACTATGATGCTGTCTTCCCAGAGTGTTTCCCTTTATATCTAGCGCTCCAGAGGGCCTGGGCCCTCGGAGGAGGTGGGGGAGGCAGTCTGGCAAGGGTTCTGCAATACTTGTTTATTCCTCTTACCAACCTTTGCATCAGAGAGCCTTGGTGGCGCAGTGGCTAATGTACTCGTCTGCTAACCTAAAGGTCAACGTTTTGAACCCATCTGCTGCACCGTGGGAGGACGATGTGTTTCGGTATAGATTACAGCCTCGGCAGCACTATAACCAAACTCACTGGGATCCAGTGGAATCCGACTCATAGCGACCCCTCCTTGGGTTTCCAGGGCAGTATCTCTACGGAAGTAGATTGCCCAACCTTCCTTCTGAGGAGTGGCTGGGTTTGAACCGCCAGCCTTCTGGTTAGCAGTCAAATGCCTTAGGGACTCCGCCACCAGAGCTCCATTGGAAACATTATGGGGCAGTTCTAATCTGTCTTTTAGAGTTGCTGAGCCAGAATCCACTGGAGGTCAGTACGTTTGGTGTTTGGTTTATGGTTTTTCCTTTGCATGGGACCGACGGGCTCTTGGATCCAGCCCTCCGACCAGGGTAAATTATAAATGGTCTCAGATAGAAGTGGAGTCTGCCCCCAGCCAGGCTGGAAAATTTGGTCATTAAGCTCTGACTTACCAATTTGGTGGCCCGATAAGGTCCGGGAGGCACACCAGGATTCTCCATTCCGCCCACCCGGCCCAGACGTCTGTCAGCGCCGGGCCCAGTCCATGACTTGCGATCCCGGAGGTGGCTGGGCACAACCGTTGGCCCCGCGGCCGATTTGAATACGCCAAAGAGCTGCGCCGATTGGCTGGGCCTCAGGGTCACGTGACTCTACCACATCTCCAGAGTCTGGGCTAGCGCTGAAGCCAGGGTAGGCGGAGGCTCTATTGGGCTCTGGAGACCAGGTTGGAGAACGCGCGAGCAACGGCACCACTCCCGGAGGCCGGGCCTAGGGGACAGGCTTCGGCGCCACCTGGCTTCTCTGCCACTGCTTCTCCCTTTTGCGGCCGTTGGCTGGGCAGAGTTAGGTTTATATTTTCAGAAGGGGTAAGGATGGGGATGGCGCAGTTTGGAGTCCAGCCTTTACCTTAAGGGAATTTGAAATTGGGGCGCGGGGGAAGGGACCGGCTTTTCCACTGGACTTTATGAGTTCCTGCAGTGTTAGCATGTAAAATAAAGCACCCCTGCGGCATAACTTCCAACAGCCACTACCACTAGTGGTTTTGCTTTTAAAAACTTTCGTAGGTATGTTGCAATGTGTTCCCTCATACATCTCAGCAGGGACCTCAACGCAAAAATGTAGATTAAAACCTCCTTAATTCTGTTGGAGAAATGAATATAAGTAGATTTCCATAAATACACGCAATGTGAGGCTTAGAAAAAGTGTTAAACTTGTCAAACTGCTTCACTTCAAATCTACCACCATATTTTTCTTTATAATAATAAACCAAAAACCAAACCAAACTCACTGCCCTGGAGTCGGATCCGACTCATAGTGACTCCTTGGGTTTCCCAGGCGGTATCACTACGGAAGTAGATGTCCCAATCTTGCTTCTGAGGAGTGGCTGGTGGGTTTGAACTGCCAGCCTTCTGGTTAGCACTCAAATGTCTTAGGCACAACACCACCAGAGCTCCTTTATTATAATAAGGGTTGTGTTAATCATCATACATTTAAAAATGTGGCACCATCTTAAAAAATAAATCTGCAACTCATATCACTTTACAAGTGTTTAGAGCGTTGAAGAGACTTATTCAAAGTCTTGGGTCCAGCTGGCACAGCTTATATACATTTCATATTCTTACAAATGCTTTCCGTCACTAGTATGAAACTGAAACTAGGAATCCTCATTTCAGCAGACTGGGAGGGTACATGAATGATTTGAAGCTGTGGAAGAATTAATTTGGAAATTAAACAGGAATTTTAGAATATAGGACTTAAAGAAGAAAAGAGAAAATGTTCTAAGAAGGAATGGTAGAGTAATGGTCTGGACTTTACCTTAACCATAGATGGAAAGGATAGTTAAAGTGGAGGAGATACATCTATTTTTTGAGCAGAGCCAGTGGGTAGGAGGGAGCTCTGGTAGCATAGTGGCTAAAGCACTTGACTGCTAACCAGAAGGCTGGTGGTTCAA